GTGATTAATTCTGCGTATATGTTCGAGGTAATGGACTTTTATAGGTATTGTGCAGCAAGGCTCTTGAGTTCTGACAGCTTGCTTAGCTTGGCTTGGGAAGAAGGATTCAGTCTGGCAGTTTAGCTTGTGCAAATGGAATCGGGAGGAAGTCCTGGTTGAGTTCTACCGTGGTTTGGCAATGTAGATATTGTCTATGGGCATGCGAAACATGGAATGTGTAATAATTTCTCTCCTTGATGGGATTGATGGAGAGTTCTTGACTAGTGGAGTACGTAGATGTTTGTGGTTAGGAAGGGAGATGGAGTTCTCGTGTTATACTAGTGTGGTATGGTATATGTGATATGTATTCGTACAACGCAATTTGGGATCAGGTATAGTGATTTGTGTGCTACATGGAGTTGGAGACTAGGAGTTCTCGTGTTCCGGCTATGCAGTTGTTGTAAATCGTGTGTATTGGTACCGTTAGCGGTTATTGGGAATTAGAGGTTCGAGTGGATCTTTCTTTACTTGGTATGCCAGATTTTGGATATGATATTTGATTGTAGACTGGTTGTCTTAGTGTTGGGTTATTCTAGACTATTGTGCTACGGGCTATGTCGGAAAATGCCACAGGTTGTGTGGCGAGGCGCATCGGATTGTAATCTAGCAAAGTAGTTTGTATCCCAAAGACCAGCGGACGGCTGGGAAGGATTGCGTTACGTAATTGGGNGGGTATTGTTCCTTTGGCATAGTGTGATGTATTCGCTCTGATTTTGGTTAGATTCGACGCGCGTGGAGCCGATTCGAAGGGCATAGGCATCGCGAGCTAGAGATTTCACCGGTTCGAGGTGAGTAATACTTGTAAATGATATCCTGAGGGTTTGAAACCCCGGATTTGCACATCATAGTGCTGTATTGTGGTGACTTGCACGCCAGGTATGAGCGTGGGGTAGAGCACCGTTGGGGATTGTGACTTAGTCCGTCCCGGTTGTTGGTTTTATTGCGTAATTGACTGAAACTACTTGTTATCATCATTAATTGGGTTGATTGCCATGTTTTGGGCTTCGTGCCGATTATTTGAATCCTTCAGGGATTGATATCACTGTTTTTGCATTACTTTGTATATTATTTGATCTCGGTCCAAGGTTTAAAATACTGTTTCACAAACTCAGTCATCTTTCTAAGATTTGAAAACCTAAATGATATTTTACTGACGTTTTGAGTTGAGACTGTTATTTTACTATTGCCCAAGGGGCTTATGTGCATTTCTGGACTGAGGATGGATCGGGCTGCGCGCCGCAGCAGTGTTACATGTGCATTTCTGGACTGAGGATGGATCGGGCTGCACGCCGCAGCGGTGTGATATTGATATTGCGCTTGGGCTGTAGGAGCCCCTCCGGAGTCTGAACCCCCACAGTGAGCGCGGGTACCCAAATGGATCGGGCTGCGCGCCGCAGCGGTCATATGCATTACATTGCATTCATGCATTGGTTCCTGGTTGTACTACGTGTCATGACATTTAGCACTATCATATCATTGGCATCCATGCTACTTCTTGTACTGTTTACCAGACGCCCTGGTGTTAACTGTTTGTGGAGTGCTGTGCCCGAGGGGCTGACTTATGTGCGGACTTGCACTATCTGATTACGCATTCATTTGCTTGAGTGTTGGAAAAGGATGTTTCAAAAGAGGTTTTAAACTGAGCCAGATATTTTCTAAAGGATTTTCACGGTTTTACTGTTTTATCAAAGAGTTGTACTGTCCCATATAGCATGATGGAGTGCTCTTACGTGATTTCTTGCCTCTCAGTTATTATTTACTCTTATTACTCACTGAGTTGGAAGTACTCACTTTACTCCCTGCACCTCGCGTGCAGTTGCAGGTATTGTTCTCCCGGTAGCGGGTTATTTAGCTGATTGAAGGTATGGCTATTGTAGCGGAGTAAGGTGACCGCCAGCGTTCGCGGCACCTGATGTTGTCTTTAGAATTCCAGAATTTATTCTTGTATATTATTGGCCCTGTAGTTGTGTTCAGGTTTCTTTAGATGCTCGTGACTTGTGACACCCCGGTTGGGTTGTGTTGGGTTGTACATACTGGTTATTATTGTCGTTAAGCTATATTTATCTATACATTTATGTCTAATAATTGTTAAGGAAACGGATTGGGGTTAGTTGGCTGGCCTTGTCTTCACGAGAGGCGCCATCACGACCGGGTATGGAAATTGGGCCGTGACACCTATCAAAGAGCAAAAGCTTTTGGCAAGCAAAGAAAATTGTGGCCTGGTGAAGAACTCGGCGAGTACGGGTCTCATCAGCACTACTATTGTGAAGCCACTTCTTGAGACATTGTACCGGTGTGGGATGCAAAAGTTAGTAAATAGTGCCACCTCACTCCATGGGAAGCAAAAGGAATGAAGCGCCACACCAGGTTGAAGTTAAGAGAGATGAGTAGAAGTTTACAGTCCGCATATCTTCTGATACGGGAAAAATCGAATGCCCTCCTCTCATTGAGTCGGGCCAACAACAACAACCCAGCGTAATTCCTCTCAGAAGAAGAACGGCCTCGAAGGAGAGCCATGGCATAACTGATGAGGTTGCTGCCTTATGACCTTGTGGTTACAGGTTTGAACCATAAGAATAAGAGACCAGAAAAGGATACAGAGAAAGTGAAGGACTAAAGATTGTTGAGGAAAGAACGAATGAAGCTTTAGCTTCAGAAATCCCTTATTTATAGAGGAATGGCGACAAAACTGACGGCGTATTCAATGCTTTTGGGGAGACAAACCGGCAGAGCATTCAATGTTTTCGGGAAACGGACCGGCAGAGCACTCAATGCTTCTGGGGGAATGAACCGATGGGTCGTTTCAATCGTTTCAAACGCCAGCTTCGTCAGCATAACGTCATCACAAGAGGTTCGAAACAGTTGAGGTCAAGATCGTTACTTATCCTTTCATTCTAAGAAACGCGGGGACTATCTGTATACGGCCAAATCGAACAGCTCGACTTTGAGGCTACTATGGCACTCCATGCCAGGCCTCAAGGGGCTCGAAACGGAACCTGAGTGCGGACCCCGAATTGCTCCCCTCGAGGGGGGGCACATCGAAGGCCGATCTCGGAGCAGCACGAGTCGATGGTCGTCGTGGAAAGGCGGGAAACCCCCAAGGGCACACGATGAGGACTGACAGAGTCTGCAAGAATAGTACACATCCGCACTGAGCCATTATACAGTTGTACTAGTAGCATTTATTCTTTATTTATCAGACATGTGCTATGTTGGGATTGACCCCTCCTATATAAAGGGGACCTTTATCATTTTGTAAGAAACCTTTGATATTGAATATAACACAACATTACTCTTGCTCTCTTCGCTAACACGATTGTTCTACACATTTATTGCTTATTTTTACATTGTTTATTCATTGTTCCTCATTTATTACTCGTTATTAATCATAAAAGGCCATCTTTAAGGCCCTCATTGCCACTGATTCTTTGTCAATAGTTCATCATCATTAACCCCATCTAGACCACGAGGTCTCGCTCCAGCCAGCTCGAGGCCCAGGTTTGTGACCCCATTGGTTTGCACATCTTATTCTCTTTACTTATACCTAGCATCTATTGTTTAACAACTAGTATTAAAATAAATCACGTATTTTTAGAACCACAAAATCAAATATAATTGTAGTTACCATTTTCAAGGTAAACATGAATATTCTGATATTATCCTATAAATGGCTAGTTATTTTGAAGAAAAGAAATGAAATTCTTTAGGAGAAACTTTTCGTTTTGTTTTCTCAGCAAGCTCGATGAAAGTTCGTCTCAAATATACAATCAATTAAAATTAGACCAACTTTATCCTTTGCTCAAAGAAAGAATAAATTAAATTTAAAACCAAATGACAAGACAAATTAAATTAAATCTAAGGCTTAGTAGCAGTTAGCAAACCAAAGCAAAGTATCTTTGTTATTCCACTAAGTTAAACTGATAATATAATTTTTATGAATACTTTAGTTAAAACAGTCGCTTCGATATCCGCATTAGGCCAATTTTTTTTTTTTTTTAATTCGGTTACTTTGGCAGCAAGAAACATAGTCAAACACGTATTAAATGCATATAATAGTATGACGTAAATCACGATTTGTTAAACACCGCCCTGAGCAAAAGAAATGTATAATTATATCTGCTATATAATTAAACGAAAAATAATAATAATAATAGGAGAACTCGCTAGTAATTTCCAAGGATCATCAAGGAAGGAACGAAAATAAATATGTATGATAAGACGAAAGTTATTTTCTTTATGACTATCCTAACATTAATTCCATAACACTTGCTAAATAATATGAAATTATTATTAATTTTAATAGTTGAAAATTTCATCAAAACACCATCTCATTTTAATAATATTATTTTATCTTTGAAATTTATTATTTTCAACTATAATTTTTACTCATCAAACACCAGAAAGTATTTTTTTTTAATCAAAAATATGTACCTAAAAAACATCGTTGAGTAATAACTTCCATCATATCAAGCATAACATATATTATTTATTTTAATAGTCAAACTATTCTATAACCGCCTTGTTTGTTTCGATTTTTTTTTGCTGCTATAGTTAAGCGTTGTTATAAAAATATATATTATAACATAATATAAAAATCGATTTTAAGAAAAACATAACTTTTATAGTGAATGACTGTTATATGATGATTCTGTTATAGAAAGGTCTAACTGTATAATAAAGGCCAAATGACACGGGTAGACTAATATACTCACGACTCACCTACTTCTTATTTTTTATTTATTTATTGTCATATTTGACTTAGAGGAAAGCTCGATGAAAACACTTTCCTATTTTTTAAACTTATAATTAAAGCTGAGCAATATACATTACGTAATATGAAAGACGTTATCGAAAAAACATAAGAGAGCTAGACTATACGTTTTGATATAATTAATTATAAGGTGGTGTTGGAATTAGTCAATAAATACTTTTGTCACTAGATCCTTTGCCCTTGTCTATCTATAAATATTTCAAAACCAACTCTTTCCTACCTCTCCTTGATCCTAACTAAAGCTATAGTACTATATCAAGAATCTCAAGCAATTAAAAGGGTAAAAGTTTCTTCCCTTTTTTGTTTAACTTCTTGTTGCTTTTCACAATTTAATAAATCTTTAGCTGATAATTCTTTCATCTTTCCATCTTCTATTTCTTCACAATTTCCACCAACAATTTTCTCACCAGATATTTTTTTTTTCCCCAGACATTTCTTTTTCCAGTAGATGGATGTTTGACCAAGATTAAAAGCTGGTCAAACTAACTTATAAATACATTTTAGCTTATTCACACGTTTGATAATGAAATACCCAAAGTACTTATAAGCCAAGTTCAGCTATAAGCCATAAACTGGTTACCCCAACTTATGACTTTTCAACTTATAAGCACTTTCAGTTTGACTAGACTTTTACTATGTTATCATTAATAATATTGTTTAATTCACAAAATATCTTTCCCAAATAAAATTTCTAATTTTCTCTTCATTCCATATTCATTGTTCCTCCTTTTCTTTATGAAAAATCTTTTTAATTTATAATATTTTGTAAAACTTTACGGGTATTTTAGTCAGTTTAATAAAAGAATCTTATCATCACGTTCACCTAAAAAAATCAACTGCTTAGAATTAATATCAACACTTTAATCCAAACACATAATTGCTTATTTATAAAATCAATTTCAGCACTTAAAAGTATTTTTTAATACTTCAAACTTATCAACTATTTATAATTAGCTAAATCAAACGAGCTCATTATTTCATGCATAAAAGAGGAAAGTCTTTCTTTTGTCCTGTCTTTCTTTTAGGCTGTCTTTATCATTTTTCTTGGGAAAAAGAAAATATGGACTTTGACTTGTTAATATTGCAGAGGAAAAAAAAGGCTGTGTACGAAAATTAAATGTTTATGACAGAATTTCAAGAATATATAGAGGTTTGAGAAAAGAGGACAAGCAAATAGTAGTAGTCTTGATTCGTCTATTGGATATAACATCTATATTTTTCTTTCATTTTTGGTAATTATTTTCCTTTTCTTGCAACCAGGATTATTTGGAAAAAAACACCAAACCAAAAAGGTACATGTTTGCTACTAGAAATAATTCAATGGCATATTCTTTGGTTTCTCCAAACACCTTTGCTCTCAAGCTAAAACTACATTGCAAGGATTGTGAAAGAAAAGTGAGAAACCTGCTGCTAAAAATCCAAGGTGTCCATTCCGTGAAAATTGATGAAAAGCTTGGAAATGTAGTCATTTCAGGCACAGTTGATCCTGCAACAATTCTAACCATATTAGAAAAACTTGGTAGAAAAGCAGAAATTCTGTGGGAGCAAGGAACTCCTGTAAACAACAGCGCGAAAAATGTTCAGATCATCACACAATCAGAAATGATTAATCCGCTGAATGATCCGGACATTATGACACAACTAGAGCCATTGTCTGGAATTCCAGGATTGAAAACTGTGGAGGTTATAAAAACCATTAAGTTGACTTTCCAAGAAGAAAGAAATGACCCTGGTAATACAGACAACAACAAATCCAATGTAATCCCACTAGTCGGATACCCTGCTAATAAAATCTTGGAAATTAGTAACACCAAAAATGTGAACAGACCTCATCGTCATGTGCTTCCACATGATCATTATTCCGATGGTGGTGGATTTTGTGCTGCTTCTTCGTCGTGCTGTGGTGGTCATGCTGCTATAAATCTTAGCCATAACCTTTATGGATGTGGCCAATATGGTGGTAATACTAGTGTTGGTTCTTGTTGGGGAAATAGCAGAAACTGTTGTTGCCAGCCCCCAATGGGAAATTGGGGTAGGGCGTGGCCACCCAATTCGCAACTCCCACCTGTGACAACACCACCATGGTCAAATGATACTATTGCCTCGGCGCCTCCTTTGCCATCTGATTATTATCGGGCATCATTACCACCACCACCGCCACCACCACCACCATTTTCGCCAATACCTCACACTTACTATAGTGCCTTAAGTGATGAGAATGTCAATGGCTGCATAATCCAGTGATTTGCTGCCATATATAAATGTGTGTGTGTGTTCTATATCAATCTGCGGTTAAGATACCTTTGTTACAAAAAAAAAAAAAAAAAAAAAAAAAAAAAGGTTGGGGAATACAGAAAAGTAGTACTCCAAATAGTTCATTTAAAATCTGTGACGTGATATACCTATACTTCTATTAGTCAACTGCTCTTGTAACTACTTTGTAAAGTTTTGCTCATCATTGTGTGAGTATTCTTCTTTTCTAGAATTTTTAAGGGTATCTATTATGATCTTAGATCAAGAAATCACTAGATAATTCCTTTTCCGAATGAAAGGCGATAGGGGCGTACCCTAAGGAAGCAAGAAGGGAGGATTTTCTTTACTTTACCGCTAGAACCTTCCTTTCACGAGTGAACCCGGGCACGAGCCTACCTTGATCGAACCAATAAAGGGGTACCGGCGTACCTACCATTACCATATAGGGAATAAACTGAGTTAGAGGCATATTCTAGTATTTGGAAACTAAATGGCGCCATGGGTATTACAAATATCAACATTAGCATTTGTCGAGGGGAATTAGCCCCAAGTTTTTACATAACAAAAAATGAGTAGTAAATCCAGTTGGGCAGGAATTAAACATATTATTTTGGTAATGAATGGACTTAGTAAAATTAAATAAAGCCAAGCTTCAGCGATGCATAACGAAGCGTGTCTCTCCCAAATTCATACTAGTGTGTATCAAAGTTAACTCCATTAAGCGAAAATTAACAATAACGAAACAAAATATGCCAACAACAAAAGAAATATCCTCAATCCATATTTTAAGTAAAAACATAGAAATCATTAAACTCAATCCATATTTTAACCAAAAATCTCCTAACCGACCCAACACGCGACCCAGTTGTTACGCTAAACAAATGCTGAAAAGGTCCAACATTATAGCTCGGGTCCATATAAATATGTCCGAATTTTACTGCTAACAGGAAAAATTCACTATTTGAAGCTAGATAGCCGCTTTTAACTTGGACCACTTAACTAGAATATATTGTATTAAATCACTTAACTGTCAGCAAATAAGTTCTCGCGGAAAAAAAAAATAGCTCACGAAACCAACATGTGACGCATTAATAAAAGTTTAGTTATTGTGTTGTATCAATTATTCATATTTCTTGTAAAAGATATATTTCACAAAAAGTCCAAAATCATCCCAGATGGTGCTTCCGCAAATTGTTGGGAAATAACAAGCACAAGCAATGTGCACGACAAGGTAGCAAAGGAATAATACCTAAGTCAAACTTTTTCAATCTACTTGAACTAAGAGGAGACAATAAATTGGCACAAACAGTAATACTGCCAGCAACTATACCACAAGCAAACGAAGAATAGCAAGACAAAAGTAATCAAGATACGAGACACCAAATTTACATGGAAAACCTCTTCAACTTGAAGAGGTAAAAATACCACGGGACCAAAGGCCCTCAAAGCTCCACTAAATCAATCAACAAGAGTTACACAAGTTCTCTAAATTGGCCACAAAATAAGTGCAAAACCAAGAGCAACAATTAAAATAAGATTGCACCAAAACAATGGAAGAAAGGAGAGAAATCACCCAAAATCAAGCTACTATTCATGCCTCCAAAATCAAAGTTACAGACCTCCAAATCCAATCTCCACGAACTTCAAGAACCAGATGTTGAGAACTTCCAGTTCAAATTTGAGCACGATCCAATGTTTAACGAGTCACAAAACGCTATTGAAGCAGATTGCCTAAGCAAAAAATTTCTAGAGCAAAAGAACACGCTTTTCTCTCTCACAAGCTTCAAAAACAGTTGTACCCTTATGTTTTCTCTTTTGTTATCTTTCTAGCTTAAAATATGTCATATTTATATGTCTTGATATTTGTGGGCTATAGGGCAAAGTGGACTAGGTCCAAAAGGTATTTTATTTATCCACATAGGAAGAGAAAAAGCCCAAAAGCCCAATAATTCTCCCCTTCCCCACTATGTGGAGGAGACCGCCATCTCGGTGATCATGCAACATTCTTCAAACTTCCCTCTTGGAAGATCTTTAGTCAACATATCCGAATCATTATCATCGGTGCGAATCTTCTCAAGTACAAGCAATTTAGAATCCAGCACATCTCTAATCCAATGATATCTTACATCAATATGTTTAGACCTACCATGAAATGTAGAGTTCTTGCCAAGATGAATAGCACTTTAACTGTCGCAATAAAGCACATTCCTCTCTTGAGCAAATCCAAGTTCCCCCAAAAATCTCTTCATCACGAACAACTCTTTACAAGCTTCAACGACAGCAATAAGCTCAACTTCTATAGTAGATAGAGACATATTTTTACAACCTAGATTGCCAAGATACAGCTCCCCCTGCAAAGGTAACCAAGTAGCCTGAAGTTGTCTTGCGAGTATCAACATCATCTGCCATATCTGAATCAATGTAACAACAAAGAATAGGTTCCCCTATCCCAAAACACAAATTCAGACTAGAAGTTCCACAAAGATATCTCATTATCCACTTCACCCCATTCCGATGCTCTCTTCCTAGATTAGAAAGAAAATGGCTAACTATACCAACATCGTGAGCAATATATGGTCTTCTGCAAATCATTAAATACATCAAACTGCCAACAGCTGAAGCTTAAGGAACTTTCTTCATATCTTCCTTCTCATTATTACTGGAAGGACATTGCTTCGTGCTCAATTTGAAGTGCATAGATAAAGGTGTACTTACAATCTTAGCTTTATCTATGTTGAACCTACGAAGTACTTTCTGAACGTACTTCTTTTGTGATAACTACAACTTGTTGGCCTCTGTTCACGGACAATTTCATGCCAAGAATCTGTCTTGGTGGTCCTAAATCTTTCATAGCAAAAGACTTGTTCAACTCTTGCTTCAACTTCTGAATCCTGCAAGCATTATGACCAACATCAAGCATGTCATCAACATAAATTTATAAGATAATAAAGTCATCATCAGAGAATTTTTGTACAAAAACATAATGGTCTGAAGAAGTCTTCTTGAAGCCCTGCTGACTTATAAAAAAACCAAACTTCCTGTACCACTGTCTGGGAGCTTGTTTCAAACCACACAAGCTCTTCTTCAACTTGCAAACGAAATTCTTTTTTCCCTTGACTTCAAAACCTTCTGGCTGCTCCATATAAATTTCTTCATCTAAGTCATCATGGAGAAAATCAGTTTTAATATCCATTTGCTCAACCTCTAAATCTAAACTTGCAGCCAAACCTAGAATAACCCAAATGGATGACGTCTTCACAACTGGAGAAAAGATTTCATCAAAATCAACTCCCTTTTTCTGATTAATGCCCAACCAATCTAGCCTTGTACCGTGGAACTAGGTTACCATCTTCATGTTTCACCCTGAAAACCCACCTATGTTTCAAAGTTTTTCTCTTTTTAGGTAGCTTAACCAAATCAAAGGTATGATTATCATGCAAGAATTTCAGCTCATCCTTCTTAGCATCAAATCACTTTTCTTTTTCATCAATATCCATGGCTTCTTCAAAACTTTCAGGCTCTCCCCCATCAGTCAAGAATACATAATCAAAAGAAGGATAACGAGATGAACGTACTTTCTCCCTAATAGATCTTCTGAGAGAACTCTCTGGAGCATCAATAGTAGTTGGTTGCTTGTTAACCATCATCTTGCACTGGAGCATCAACGATATCTTGCTAGTCATTCTGAACATGATTACCATCTTCATTATCAACTTGATTATCATTAGTTTGGAGATTTTTTCAGGTGGAATAGTCACAAGAACTGGATCAACATCAAGTAAGCTCTCACTACTCTAGGAATTAACCTTCTTAGCTTTTTTCAAAATCTTCAATTGTCTAGTCTTTCAAAGAACACAACATCGCGGGTTCTAACAAGTTTCTTTTCAAATGGATCATAGAAACGATAGCCAAATTTATCTTGACCATAACGAATAAAGATACACTGCCTAGTTTTAACATCCAACTTTGACCTCTCATCCTTAGGAACATGCACAAAGGCCTTACACCAAAGACTCTCAAGTGATCATAAAAAATATTCTTACAAAACCAAACTCTGTCAGGGACATCACCATCAAAAACAATAGTAGGAGATAAATTGATAACACAAGCAACAGTAATTAAGTGCTTCTACCGAAAATGAATCGGGCAACTTAACATCTGAAAGCAGATATCTAACCCTCTCAACTAGAGTTCTGTTTATCCTCTCTACTAAACCATTTAATTGAGGAGTCTTTGGAGGAGTTTTTTTGATGCCGAATACCCTGCGATCTGCAATAATTATCAAACGGGCCAATATACTCACCACCATTGTCTGAGCGGATACATTTTAATTTCTTCCTTGTTGCCTCTCAACCAAGGCCTGAAAATTATTGAACACATCAAGTACTTGATCCTTGGACTTCAAAGGAAATACCTAGAGTTTGCGAGAATGATCATCAATAAAAGTCACAAAGTAAAGTGCACCACTATGAGACCTTACTTTAAAAGGACCACATAAATCAAAAGGTGTCAATTTCCGTAAATCAAGCTTTCTCGAAGGCGGATAACTCTGAAAAGAAACTCTTTTCTGTTTTTCGGCTAAGCAATGAACATATTTCTTTAATTTTGCTTGCTTTACTCAAAAAATCAAATTCTTCTTACCCAAACTATCAATCCCCTTCTCACTCATATGACTCAACATTCTATGCCATAACACTGATGAATCATTCTCCACTAAATTAACTGAGTCAACAGAAATGAAGCGATGCATTTTTTACAAGTGAGATACATTGATACCTCAAGCCACAACCATTGATCCTCTAGTAAGCTTCAACTAGCCACCACCAAAGATGCTATAATAACCATCATCGTCAAGCTTTCCTGCAGAGATTAGATTCGGGCGGACATCTGAAGCATGCTTGAAATTGTTATGAACTAACCTGGAGCCATTGGTAGTTTTCAAACAAACAATACTGATGGTAAGCTAGAAACCCATATTTTAGTCATAATTTGCACTCTAATCACTGCATTTTACTTGTGGTTGAACTTAATTAATGGTGATTTGCGCTTATTACGTATTTTATGTCTTGCAGGAAATGATTTCGAGCTATCAAGGTAATTTGGAGCTAATTTGAACAAGTTGGAGCTTTGAAGTCTGAGTAAAAGCCCAAGAAATTAAGTCGGGATTACGTTTGGGGGTCGAGGACCATGTTTGAATTTCAAAAAATGAGAAAAAAATTACTCAGAGAAAAA